GGTTGCAATTGAAATTCAAACGCAAGGAGAGAAATTTTTGATAGTAGGAGTTTATGCACCAAATGAGGGAAAATCAGAATTCTTTAAAAACTGCACCGAGACTTTGATGGACTATATGGATTATAATGTGAATCTTGATGGGGGAGTAAGATGCCGAACGAGTGGTGTCTAACAAATAATTTTCCGTGAACCGCCCTGAGACCTCTGGGTAAAGGGCAGTATATACAGGTGAGATTGTTAATTTCGGGTTTGCATCAGCTGTACGCCATAATCATCACAATTATAAACAAATAAAGGCTTGACATATCTTGCTTTGCATGTCATGAGTCTAGCTCATACATTAGTTTCACCTTTTAAGTTGAATGACTGAAATAAACGAACTTTCCCACTGTTATATACTGAGTTGAATAGGATCCAAACTGCAGCACTCTGATTGGTCCTAGAACAATAGGATCCAAAATGCAGCAGTCTGATTGGTCCTAGAACAATAGGATTCAGAATGCAGCAGTCTGATTGGTCCTAGAACAATGCAGCAGTACGATTGGTCAGCAGGAGCCACCCAATCCAGCTCCAGATAGAAGTGAATCCACAAGCTGATTGGCCTACAGGAGAATTCCGGAATTAGCCAATCACATGCAGCGCATTGTGTAAATAATGTATATAAAGCAGATACTTTGAGGGGACTTGCATTCCCTCCTCACCACTATGAGCTGAATAAAGAGCATGAAATCCACTCTCGACTCTGAGTATATTTCACCCACGATATTCTAATTTTCGAGTTTCACCTGTAAATTCAATAAATAAAAATTAATTAAATAAAGGAACCCCCTCATGTTTGTAGTCCATCTTCTAATCTTCGCACTCACTAGCCGTGGCGAGATGGGCTCATCCACAGTTGCTCAGGGAAAATCTCTTGCCAACAGTGCAACTATTTACTCACCAATAATTTGCTCTTGGCTTTGCAGGACCTGGCAGCCCCTCAGATTAGGAGAATCTCCACCGAGAGAGAAACTGGCAGAAACGGGAGAAGCTGGTTAAGCCTCCATGGAGAAACGTGACTCCTTTGGCCCCTGAAGAAGGAAGAGACGCTTGTGCTTGTCAGACCATCCAGGCTGAACGCAGTGCGGGATTCGGGAAAGAACCACGCAGAACAACGCAGGTGAGGAGGAGACCCTCAGCTTAGACGTACAATGCTGGCATTTCGGGTATTTCTGCTACCAGGAGGCCGAGGGACCCCAAGAGGTTTGCAGCCGACTCCACACCTTTGCCACCAGTGGCTGAAGCTGGAGAGACATACTGAGGTCAGATCTTGGACCTGGTGATCCTGGAGCAGTTTCTGGCTGTCCTCCCCCCGGAGATGGAGAACTGGGTGAGGGGATGCGGAGCGGAGACCAGTTCCCAGGCGGTGGCCTTGGCCGAAGGTTTCCTCCTGAGCCGAGCAGAGGACCAGAAGCAGAAAGAGCAGCAGGTGAGAGAGACAGTTTCACTGAGATATTTCCCAGGAGCTGGTAAAGTGAGGGGGAGATACCCTAAAACGTTTCACTAGTTGCCCAAAGTCTTCTAGAGTGTCTCAACTCTCCCCAAAAAGTGTTTTCCCATCTTATAATTTTATTTTGTTTGGGTTTTTTTCAAATAATTTTTATTAACAGGCCAATCAAATCACATTAATTCCAAATCACATTAATTCCAAAAGTTACACAGCCAAATTTTTTAAAGTTTTGTTGGGGGTACCCATGCTTCGAGCTCAGAAAGGGATTCCAAACATCTCTCTTGCTGCTACTTTAATATACACAGTTCTGTCCAAATAGTATTCACAGATCTGTTCAGTCTTCTCTTTGTTATTTTCCTCATCTTCTTGTTGTTATCATATATTCCTTTCTTTGTGATCTCTGGTAGTCTCCACAAGCAGGTTGAAAACAAACGTTGTTATATCCTGTGTGGATTTTACACTCCTCCAAGAGCCATATCAAGATAGACAGACGCCATTTCCACACCTCCGTACAAAACATTCCCAAAGTCTGTCCGTTTCATTTCTACAGGCCTGCCAGTCTCTCCTCAATTTTCTCACGGGGTCCTGCCAGGTCAAACTCACAGTCCGGATATGTAACAAGCCATGGTCCTCCTCCCCTCGATCATCCTGTGACAGGCCTGCCGTAACAAATCTCTTTTATAACTGCGTCACAAAGAGCTTCCATTCCTTTCCCAATGTTCCCACAAGCCATGGCTTTGATTAGTAATTTATTTCCACACAGTTCTTAATCATCCTGCTTGTAATCAGTAATTGCAAGGGTTCTTTCTTGAGGGGAGGATTATTGGGTACTCACATAAGATAAAAAAAGAAAAGTCCCCCCCCCCTTTCAGTCGCGCTCCGACATACCGATCCTTTGATGAATCTTCTTCTTGATTTATTGTTGAATCCAGCCCGTCGCTCCACTTCACAGAGATCACTTTAATTAGCAGTCTTATCTCCCGATCTTCACTCGAAATATGTGCATTTGCTTCTTTCTAATTGATTTTTTTTGAGCTGCTGCAACCAGGCCGCGTGATCAGAGACAGCTTCAGGGAGAGCCGTCTCCGAGGGCTGTGTGCCTAGTCCCCTCACCCCCTTCTTTCGAATCTGAGGGTGATTTATGGCAACTGCAGGCAAGGCAGTGTTCCCCATTTCCTTGGGGTAACAAGGGAGGTTGCATACTCCCATATCAGCCTCTTAATTACCTCGTGTGAGCTGGAGAGATGGTATTGTCAGCCATCTTCCAATGCGCCCCTAGCGGCCCCCTAATTTTCTTTTTGATCCTAGTCCTCATTGCTGTTTCAGGTAAAGGAACAAACTGCAGAGGCAGGAGGAGATTTCTCTGAGGCCAAGGAAACGTTCCTTGTGGTGGCCTATCAATCAGGAAGGTGACGGAGAAACCGCCTTACGGAGTAAGCATAGATGGGGCACCTTCTACCAGAAGAATGGCTCCTTGCAAGTTCAGGATGAACATGATGTGGCACTTGTCTGAGTGCCAGTCCCTCAGGTTGCAGGATCCAAGGGGACATATGAAATAAGGCCATCCATCTGCTGAACCATGGGTAGGCAACCTAAGGCCCAGGGGCCAGGTGCGGCCCAATCGCCTTCTCAATCCGGCCCGCGGACACTCCAGGACTTTGTCTTTTATTATTATTATTATTTCTTTGTTTCTTATCTTTGCTACTTCATTTTTTATTTTTTATTTCTTTATAAATTTTCTATTTTATTTAATTTTCTTTTTTTTCCTTTTAAGAGATAGTACATAATGTTTGTACAGACATGTAATTTTTTTAATCAATAAAGAATATTAATTTTAAAAAGGAAGAAGAATGTGTCCTTTTATTTTTTAAAAGAATCTCTGGGTTATTTGTGGGTCCTGCCTGGTGTTTTTGCATGAGTAGAATGTGTGCTTTTATTTAAAATGCATCTCTGGGTTATTTGTGGGGCATAAGAATTCATTCATTACCCCCCTCCCCCAATATAGTCCGGCCCAGCACATGGTCTGAGGGATGGTGGACCGACCCATGGCTAATAATAATAATAATAATAATACTTTATTATTTGTACCCCAGCCACTCTGGGCGGCTTCCAAAAAAAATATTAAAATACTCTAATACATCAAACATTAAAAGCTTCCCTAGACAGGGCTGCCTTCAGATGTCTTCTAAAAGTCTGGTAGTTGTTGCTCTCTTTGACATCTGGTGGGAAAAAGGTTGCTGACCCCTGTGTTAAACTGACCCCAAACTTCTTGTCTACGTGACAAGCATGTGCTACTGTGAAAAGAGCCGATATCACTTTCCTGGAAAAAAACAAGCAAAAGCAGGGAGACGTTCATCCAAACATAGCAGAAGAAAGCTCCCTCAGAACCACCCAGTCAATCCGAGCACACGTTTCCTCAGTGAAGGTCATGCCGCTCTGCTTGGTTGCTAAGTAGCAGCTCCGCCCACCCCTCTTGGCCAGCTCTCTTTAAACACCACCAGATTTAACCCTTAGCTGATAAACTGCATGATCCCTGCTGTTGACCTTCCAACATTCCTGACCTCTTTGTCTCTCGCAGGTGATGAAACCGTGCTGACAATTTGTACTCAGCCATCTCTCCTTGGGGATGGAGGACAAGCTCTTTCTGGGTCACCAAATCAGGTAGAGGGAATCAGCACCGGGGACCCTGCCAGTACCGCTATCTTGCTACCCACTAGGAAGGCTGTCAACGCCACTCATGAAGATTTGAATCAGGAGTGGGGAACCTCAGGCCTCATGGTAGGGGGTACTAACTGCGGCCCTCCAAGCCTCTCTCTGGCCCTTGAGACTCTCCCGAGGCCACCACCCCCTTCCCAGCAACACAGAAGACACTCCTTGAGTGTTTTTGCCTAGCCGAAATGTGCCCTTGACTCTGATCATGCCTGTTGTTTCCTTGGATGGAGGTAGCAAATTTTGCCTCTGGATCTGCCCCCAATATTGTCTAGAATGGAAAGAGGCTCCCAGGTGGGGGAAAAAGCTTCTCCAGCCTCTACAGTGGTACCTTGGTTCTCAAACGCCTTGGTACTCCAACAACTTGGAACCCAAACACCGCAAACCCGGAAGTAAGTGTTCCAGTTTGCAAACTTTTTGGGAAGCCGGATGTGCTCCGTTTTGAGTGCCTTGATTCAATTGTGAGTGTTACACTTCTGTTTTGAGTGTTACGCTGAGGTCTGTCTGTTTGCTATTTATTTTGCATTTTTGTTTTTGCGGCTCTTTTTGTTTTGTTTTTGTGACTGTATGGAACCCAGTTCAGCTACCGACTGATTGATCGTGTGATTGCAGTACATTGTTTATTGCTTTCATTTTATGGATCAATGGTCTCGTAAGATGGTAAAATTCATGTTAAATTGCTGTTTTAGGGGTTGTTTTCATAAGTCTGGGGCGGATTAATGCCTTTTGCAATACTTTCTATGGGAAAGCGCACCTTGTTTTGGAATACTTTGGTTTGGGAACAGACCTCCGGAATGGATTAAGTTTGAGAACCAAGGTACCAATGTATATTAATCCTGAGGGTAATGCCCATTCACCTCCCCTTAACAAGGCTTTGGGATTTTGCTTGTAGGCCGGTCTATTTTGACATTTGCAAGGAAGCATTTCTCCCCCTCTCCCTCTCAGGACTCAGTTTCACTGAAGAGGAATGGGCTCTGCTGGGTCCTGACCAGAGAGCCCTGCACAGCCAAATTATGAAGGAGATTTGCAGGATCGTGTCCTCTCTCGGTATGGTTCCCTTTTACTCTGCTTGATGATAATATATTTTCAGAAATGCAAGTAAATTAATTGGCAACACTCAACAGGTTTAACGACTGCGTGTCAGCATCACAATTCTTATTCTTTTGGTCCAGCAAGATTTATATATTTGTGTATATCTTCTGTATATCTCTTTCTATAGCTCTGCTTCTGTTTATCTACCGTTTTCCCATTTAACAAAAATCCACAGGAAGATTAACCCTGGTCAGATGCCAGTAGAAAAAGTAAAAATTATTATCACATTATTTGTAACAATGATTTCTTGATTGCCTTAAATATGATTGCCTTCTATGGCGAACCTTACCAGAAGAATAAGGAATCAAGATAACATTTTTTTAAAATAAAAGAATGGAAATGGTTTATTGAATATTTACAGATAAATTGTAAACAGATAAAAACATTGGTAGGATTATTGTAATAACCTGCAGTTTCATATGAGTATATATTTAAAGAAGATGAATAAATGAGCAAATTAAGTTAATTTGGATATGCAGAAGATATTAAAAAAAAATTTGAGGAACTGCAGAGAGGGGGAAGAAAGTCAAACCTTGAAATATCAAAATGATTGTAAAATTAGTGAAATGTATTTTACGTGAAAAGTATTTTAAAAATATTTTTACAAAATAATTGATTGCCTGCTAAACCACCGTCTCAAGGCAATTTATACAAAAAATGTTTTAAAAAGCAGTTATATACACAAAGGCAACAAATAAAAATAAGACTAAAACCGTAACAAGTGGACACCCATTATTAAAATCTATTTATCCAGCTGAAAAAGGTCCCAATTCCCGCCCCCCCCCGAAAGGGATGCCATTCCACAGAACACAAACAGTGACACTAAAAGCCCCATTCTGGGTGTGTGCTTTGGAGATCTTTGGAACTTGCAGGAGAATCTCTGCTGTATATCTGGGACTGAGCAGAACAGGGACTTGCATGCGAGTACAAACTCCTTGAACTCAGCCCAGTAGCAGATTGGTAGCAAGTGCCAATCCCACTAGCAGGCTGTTCTATGCTGGCAGTAGTTTCCTCCCACAAGCCTGAGGTGGATGGCACTGTGGTCTAAACCACTAAGCCTCTTGGGCTTGCTGATGGCAAGGTTGGCGGTTTGAATCTGTGCGACGGAGTGAGCTCCTGTTGCTCTCTCCCAGCTCTTGCCAACCTAGCAGTTCGAAAGCACGCCAGTGCAAGTAGGTAAATAGGTACCACAGTGGCGGGAAGGCACGAGTTCTGGTTTCCATCACGGTGTTCCATTGCGCCAGAAGCGGTTTAGTCCTGCTAGCCACATGACCCAGAAAGCTGTCTGCGGACAAACACCAGCTCCCTCGGCCTGAAAGCAAGATGAGAGCTACAACCCCATAGTCGCCTTTGATTGGACTTTGTAAAGCTTTTTCTGTTTCATTTTATGATGTACATGAAACAGAGATAGCAGCTATAACTATAGTGATCAGATGGGATTACTATGAGGAATGATATGCATCAAGCCATTGTGTCCGCAATGAAAGCACTGCGTTGACTGGGTTTGATTCATTGACAATAATTTCTGATCAAATCCCACAAGCCTCTGCACCTATGCCCTTTTTCTCTACTGCCATTTCTCTATGTCTGACAAACCTGTATAAGCATTCTAGGACACAGACCAGTTGCTGCACCAGGCATCCTAGGCCAGAAAGTTAATAGGTTACTTTGATGTAGTTTGTTAATCTTTAGATAGCTCTTAGGGCCAGGAAGAGAGTTCACAAAGAGATGGTGAATACCACCCTTCTTTCCTTTACTGATCTAACTTTGTCCCACATGGGGTTTTTTGAAATGCTCAGAGGAAATCTGATTGGTTCTTACGAACACTGTGTACAAAGTTCTTTTGTGAATAAAACGACCTGGGCCAAGGGGTAGGGAATTATTATACGCACTCCTCCCAGAGTCTTGCTGGTCAATCCACGTGTGTATTTTATTAATCAGAGTCCAATCCTTCCTTGCTTTGGGAACGCTACATATAACAGCAGATGAAAATTAGGATATGAAAAGCAAAACTATAGAATGGGCACCTAGAATTGTACATGGATTCAAACAGCACAGTCCAAGTGAATAATATTGGCATTATCTGATGATCAAGTATATCTCCGGATTTGCCAAGCCTCTGACAACAGTTGTCTATCAGATGATGGTTCTGCTGTATATAGAATCACAGAACTGTAGTTATAAGGGACCCCAAGGGTCATCTAGTCCAACCCCCAGCAATGAAGTAATCTCGGCTAAAGCATCCATAGCAGAAGGCCATCCCACCTCTGCTTAAAAACCTCCAAGGAAGGAGAGCCTGCCACCTCCCGAGGGAGACTGTTCCATTGTCAAAACAGCTCTTACTGTCAGAAAGTTCTTCCACTCCAATAATGGCTGTCCTGGGGTGACCAGAACACGATCATTGGTTTACTCTCTGTAGGAGTTATTTGATATGATTAAAGATCTTCCCACACTCCAACCCTTTCTAAGATGTTTCCCTTGTACGAGTTCTTTATTGTTTAGGAAGGGAGCCCCTGCCACTGAAGTTCTTTCCATACGCCAAAAATTTCTAAGATTTCCTCCCTGTATGAGTTCTTTGATGCGACTTAAGGTGGCTACTCTGACGGAAGCTCCTTCCACACTCCGAACATGTGTACGGTTTCTCCCCTGTATGAGTTCTTTGATGCGACTTAAGGTGGCTACTCCGACTGAAGCTCCTTCCACACGCCGAACATGTATACGGTTTCTCCCCTGTATGAGTTCTTTGATGCGACTTAAGTGAGCTACCCTGACTGAAGCTCATTCCACACTCTGAACATGTATACGGTTTTTCCCCTGTATGAGATCTTTGATGCGAGGTAAGGGCACCATTGTCACTGAAGCTCTTTCCACACTCTGAACATGTATACGGTTTCTGTCCTGTATGAGTTCGTTGATGCAATGTAAGTAAGCTACCACGACTGAAGCTCTTCCCACACTCGAAACATTTATAAGGTTTCTCTCCTGTGTGCAATCTTTGATGCAAGGTAAGGCTGCCACTCTGGCTGAAGCTCTTTCCACACTCCAAACATGTATATCGTTTCTCCCCTGTATGAATTCTTTCATGCGAGGAAAGGTAGTCGATGCGACTGAAGCTCTTGCCACATTCCCTGCATTTATAAGGTTTGCTGCCTCGATGAGTTTGTTGATGTCTAGTAAGCCCATTGCTGCGAGCGAAGCTCATTCCACACTCCAAACACGTATGCGGTTTCTCCCCTGTATGAGTTCTTTGATGCGACTTAAGGGTGCTAATCCGACTGAAGCTCCTTCCACACTCTGAACATGTATACGGTTTCTCCCCTATATGAGTTCTTTGATGCGAGGAAAGGGAACTATTCTGACTGAAGCTCCTTCCACACTCTGAACATGTATACGGTTTCTCCCCTGTATGAGTTCTTTGATGCAACCTAAGGCTGTTACTATAAATAAAGCTCTTTCCGCATTCTGAACATGCATACGGTTTCTCTCCTGTATGAGTTCGTAGATGCAAGGTGAGGGAATAACTTTCACTGAAGCTCTTTCCACACTCCAAACATTTATATGGTTTCTCCCCTGTATGAGTTTGTTGATGTAACATAAGGCTCCTCCTCCAAATAAAGCTCTTTCCACACTCTGAACATGTATACGGTTTCTCTCCTGTATGAGTTCTTTGATGCGACTTAAGGGAGCAACTATGACTGAAGCTCTTTCCACACTCAGAACATATATATGGTTTCTCTCCTGTGTGCACTCTTTGATGTAAAGTAAGAGTTGAGTGACTACCCAATCTCTTTCCACACACGGTGCATTCATGCTTTATCTCCTCTCTGGCAATTTGGTTTTCACCACCCTGAGACGTACCAGAGTCACCCGCCGGCTTCTGCCTTCGTCTCCCCTCTCGCCTGCTGCCTCCATCTTGAACCCTCAGCTTCCCTTGTTCTTTGGATCCTTTCGGTGACACTTCTGATTGTTCCCCTTCTGCCAGCATCCCTTCAACATCTCCTGATGGAATAAAAAGGCAAACTGATGAAATGCTAAAGGAGCGTCTTCACCCCAATCATTCAGTCAGGACACAGAGATCCAGGTTCCAAGGGCCTTGTGGCAGTTCCTTCACTGTGAGAATGGAAGTTACAGGGACCGAGGCGGAGGGCCTTCTTGGTAGTGGTGCCCACCCTGCGGAACGCCCTCCTGTCAGTTGTCAAAAAAAATAACTATGCAACTTTTAGAAGACAATTGGAGGCAGCCATGTAGAGGGAAGTTTTAAATGTTTTATTATGCTTTTATATTTGTTAGAAGCAGCTAGAGTGGATGGGGCAACCCAGTGACATCAGTGGGGTACAAATAATGAAAGTATTAATATGGTATTATTATTTATTGAGTTTATATACCGCCCTATACCCGGAGGACTCAGCGTGGTTCACAGAAAAGATCACATCATATATAATCAGAATAAAACCCAACCCAATAACACCCCCCCCCCAAAAAAAGAGCCACGTTTGAAAAAGACTATAGGATGTCAAACATATCAAGCAAAAGCCTGGTTAAAAAGGAACATGTTTGCATGCCACCTAAAGGTGTAAACCCCTTCATGGATCACTGCCTTGTCGTGGCGAAGGGGCTTGAATAACTCGGCTATGACCTATGCCATGCAGGGCCACCTAAGACAGACAGGTCAGCCGAGAGTTTAGACTAAATGTGATCCACCTGGAGAAGAAACTGGCAACCCACTCCAGTATTATGCCATGAAAGCTCCATGGACATAAAACAGGAGAAGCTTTGAAAGGAAAGTGAGTTTCCAAGGCATGCTCTGATTCATGGGGAGGATAAGGAAGGCGCCAGGTGAACTTCCCTGGGGAGAGCACAGACAGGGAGCCACTGCAGAGAAGGCCCTGTTCTCGTGTTGCCACCCTCCGGACCACTTGAGGAGGAGGCCCACGAAGGAGGACCTCAGGATCCGGCTAGGTTCATATGGAAAGAAGCAGCCCTTGAAGTATTGTGATCCTGAGCCATGTAAAGCTTTATAGGTCAAAACCAGCACCTTGAATTGAGCCCGGAAACTAATTGCTAGCCAGTGCAGTCGGACCAGGATGGGGGTAATATGCTCAAACCGTCTTACTCCAGTGAGCAACCTGGCTGCTGAATTCTGCACTAGCTGAAGTTTCCAAACTATCTTCAGAGGCAGCCCTACGTATAACACATATCTATATCTAACCTTGAAGTTCCCGGAGCATAGACAATGGTAGATAGGCTATCCTTGTCCACATAGGGGTGTAGCTGGGCTACCAGCCAAAGGTGATGGAAGGCACTCCAGGCCATCTGAGCCTCGAGCAACAGCAAAGGATCCAGGATTACCCCCAAGCTACGAACCTGCTCCTCCAGAGGAAGTGTAACCCCATCAAGAGCAGGCGACCTTCCAGCCATCTGCTCTAGGGAACCACCCACTAACTGAGCCTCACTCTTATCTGGATTGAGCTTCAATTTGTTGGCTTTCATCCAGTCCATTACCGAGGCAAGACACTGGCGGGAGAGGGTGCTCAGGGGTGTTGGGAGTAGTAATAGTAATAGTAATAGTATTAGCCTGTCTGTATAAGGCCTCAACCACTCTTGTAATTTTAATGTGAAGTTGCTTGTTTCTCCTTTTTTTCTTATAACGTCTTCTGCCCAGAACTCCTCTTGCAGAAACTGCTGTATTTAACTGAAACACAAATGTTTTAAAATGTGTGTGGTTTGGGGGGGGTGTTATTGGGTTGATTTTGTTTATGTTTTGATTATGTACTTTGAGTTTTTATATTGCAATTTTATCCTGTGAACTGCCCTAAGGCCTGTGGGTATAGGGAGGTATACAATTTTAATAAAAAATAATAAAATCAGGCCAGATGAAAATTATTACAAGTTCCAGGTGCAGCCCCAGCAGAAGGTTTCCCAATGCTTAAGGGTTTGCCTTGACCCCAAGCCCTATGGGGAGCCCAAGGAAGGTCCCCCACCTGCCCAAGTTGGGCTGCAGGGAGGAGAGCAGGAGAAAGATCTGCCCTTCCATTGGGAAAAGATTTCCTATCCCCATACAAAGGGGGAAAGCCCTATAAATGCATTATTTTAGCGGAATTATATACAGAATGCATTCATTGTGGCAAATGTAAATATTTGGGGAAATACCCTTTGCAAAAGCGTGGGCATTAGGCGAGATCTTCACCAAAATGCTGAATAATTTTCAAGAGGTCTTTAAAAATAATAACGTGAAAATCTGGATAAATTGACGACAAAAGGAGACGCAGAAAAAAACTGACATTGAAACGCTTTGCCTAGTAGGGGTTTTTTTAATCCCTCCCCACAACTCCCTCCAACTGCACCCCCAGTCTCTCCCCCAGTTATAATACATAATAATATGACGCACCTCCAGCGCATCCGCGAGGAAGGACAGCCGCCGCCATGTTCGGCATCTTCCCCCCAAAAGCAAGATAGGAAGCGGAAGCTGCTATTCTCCCGACAGCCTTTTTCCCCTCTTCTCTAGGAATCTCAGCTCTGTCGCCGCTGCTCTTAACCGTTTCGGAGCCGAGCGGCAGGAGCCTCTGGGCTTCTCCGGGCAAAGAGCGAGGAGAGGCGCTGGTCTCGCCTCCGGAAAGCCCCGCTGCATCAGCTGCATGGGAGCCCCAGATAGTTTTCTAAACTATTAATTTTTTTTTATTATTTTCAATTTTCAAAATAACATTTTTCCAAATTTGCCATAAATGTCTTCCCCCCGGCCCCCCTAGTTTCCGCCCCCCCTTTATTCTCCTTGTATATAATTATATTTCTCCAATTAATTTCAACTTATTTTTCCCCTCCTAATTCTATTCTTGGTTCATAAATGTTACATCAAACCTGCTAATGTTTTGACGTTTTTACAGATTCTCTAAAGTAGTCTATAAAGTTTTCCCATTCTTGATTGATTTTTTTCTCATCTTGGTGCCTGATCTTTACGGAAAATTTAGCCATTTAGCCATAGTCAATCATCTTTCCATTCTTCTTTCTTTGGGACCTTTTCTTCTTTCCACATCTGGGCTAGTAGCATCTGGCTGCTGTAGTCGCATAAATGGTCTCCTTTGCTTCCTTGGCAATTCTCCTATTACACCTAGTAAAAAAGCCTCTGGTTTTTTAAAACAGATTTAATTTTAAGAATTTTTAAAAGTTCATTGTATATCATTTCCCAGAAGCCCTTTACTTTTTTACACGTCCACCACATATGAAAAAATAGTTCCTTCCTTATCCTTACATTTCCAGCATAAATATATCTTTATACATTTTACCAAGCTTTACTGGAGTCAAATACCATCAGTACATCTTCATATAATTTTCTTTTAATGAACTACAAGCCGTGAATTTTAAAATCTCTTTCCACAGCTTTTCCTATGATTCAAGTGGTATATTATAACCTGTCTTTTGCCCAGTGTATCATTACAGCTTTAACCTCTTCATCTTTCGTCTCCCATTCCAACAGTGGTTTGTACATTCTTGATAACAATTTCTCATTATTTTCTAATAATTCATTTTTGAACTTTGAGAATTCCTTCCCAAAGTCCTTCTGTCACCTTTGAATATGTCATTTATTTGGCACTATTGTAACCAACCTGTTAACAGAGCTTTTTTATCCTCATATTCTTTACCTTTAATTTGTTTTCTACTTCTGTTAACAGATCTTTGTATGTTGCCCAGTTTCGTGTTTACCTCTTTTTACAGATATGGTTTCTAATGGGGAAAGCCACAAAGGTGTCTTGTTCTCTAATAAATTCTTATATTTGTCCCATACTTGGTAAATTGATTTCCTTATAATGTGGTTCAGGAATCCCTTGTGCACCTTTCTTTTCTCATACCAAAATTAAGCATGCTAACTAAATCTATTACCACGTCCTTCCAGATCTGATACTTCAGTATTGTTTAACAGTATCCATTAGCCAATCACGTGCAGCCCATTGTGTAAATAATGTATATAAAGTAGATATTGTGGGGGAACATTCATTCCTCCTCACCACTATGAGCTGAATAAAGAGCATGAAATCCACTCTCGACTCCGAGTATATTTCACACCTTATAAACAGTAAAAGAACAATTCTGCATTTGTTATCTTTTTCTGTTCTTCCTTTGAAAAAACAAAACAAAAATCAGTCCCTGGGGAGATGTTCCATGATGATTTAAAAAAGCACTTTATGTACCATTTTAAAAGCACTTTATGTACCATTTATTTTGGTTGTGCATCTCACAAGAGTCGTGGAGCTCTGCTGCCGCCAATTAACCATGTTTTCCAAGTCCTGGGGAGGGACAAGCCCCGCTCTCTGACCCCTGGTCACCTTCCTCTCTGTTTTCAGAGACTTCACATCCACGTTGAAGTGTCTCCTCTGCTCTTCGGGGCTGGAAACTTCCCTCCCCCCCCCCAAAGGGATAAATGAGATTTTCCAGAAGTTGTACTTTGCACCCAGTGGTCCCAACTCCACCTTCAGAAAAGGGCAACCCAAATTATCGAGGGGATGGAGGAACTCCGCTGTGCAGAAAGGTCGCGGAATTGGGAACTTTTTAGTTTAGAGAAAAAGCAAGTAAGAAGTGACACGATTATAAAATTGTGCATTGTGTGGAGAAAGTAGGTAGAGAAAAGCTTTTTATTTCTCCTAGCGCTAGAATTCGGGGGCGTCACAGGAAGCTGAATGGTGGAAGAGTCAGGATATATAAAAGAAACCCTTCGCACAGTGAGGAATTAAGCTATGGAACTCACTGCCACAAGAGGCAGCAATGGACTGCTGTAATAGAGGAT